ATGAGTTATAAATCAGTTCATAGAGATTTTCTAGCTGGTCTAGAAGAAGATAGTAATTTGAAATCATTGAAGTATGATGCCTTCAGAAAATTATGACACCAATTGACACCAGAGATTCAAATTATGAGTCCCAGGACTGACTTGTGTGATACTTGTCAACATTATAGAGATGGTTTACATTACAATGCTCGCCATGAGGAAGAAGCTAAAGATTTACTTAAAAGGTTTAAAGAACATTTATCCAAGGCCAAATTAGAAAGAAATTATTATAATAAAAATACCAAATTAGCAGAAGAACAAAGAAAATTAGTTAATCAAAATTATTCAAAGGGTAAAACACAATATTGCAGTATTGATGCTACTGCTCATTATAGTTATGATTGAGCCCAAAATGTTCATGTACCACATTTAGATCAACAAGTAAGTAAAATCTATTATCTTAGTCCATGTAAAGTTCATTTATTTGGTATTCAAGATGAAGCAGTAAGGGAACAAATTAATTATGTTCTTAATGAAGATGAAGCTATAGGAAAAGGACCCAATGGCACTCTTAGTATGATTTTTGATGGAATTAAGAAATTGAACAAAGGTGAAAAGCATTTAAAGATCACCTGTGATAATGCTGGTGGACAAAATAAAAATATTGTAACAGTTTGGTTCTATTTATATTTAGTAATTTGTGGTTATTATGAAAGCATTGAACTAAATTTCATGGTTCCAGGACACACCAAATTCAAATGTGATGGTAGTTTTGGCTTGATTAAAAAACTTTATAGGAAAACAAGAGTAGATTGTCTGGGTCATGTGGTTAATGTAGTAAAAAGATCCAGTCCAGCAGGATTGAATAAAACCCAGTGTTATGAAGGTGGAAGAGGTTTTCAATACTTAGATATTAAAGCTATTTTGGGAATTTATTTTAAGAAGTTACCAAGTATACAGAAATATCAACATTTTCTTTTTGAAGCAACTAATCTTGGTATGGTCAAAGCTCAGGAAATTGCTAATGGACCTTTTGCTGAATTCAATTTATTGAAAACCAAGAAATCAGATATTTTTGAAGAGATTAAAGCTTTATCTATTTTAGTGTTAACACCACCTCCTTTGGATCACAAAAGACAAGAGTATCTTTATCATAATATTCGCCCATTTGTGAAAGATGAATACAAAGATATTACTTGTCCAAGACCATTCTATACTGGCAACAAATAAAATATTTAGAACAAAAACACCTTCATTACTCTATCACACTTGTTAATTTGTCCCATTATTGTCATTAAGTTTAATAAGTTTAATCTTTTGACAAATATTGTTAGTTTTAAAGTAAAAAAGTACTAAAATAATTTATATACTTAATATGCCCTCATAAAAAGGATATAAGTATATTAGTATATTAAAAGAGCATATAAATAAAATCATGGTAAACACAATAAATGAATTCCAAGAGAGAAATAAACAACTATTAGAAGAAAATGAAAATTTAAAGAGGCAATTAGCAGATAAAGAACAAGAAACACAATTTAAACAGTTGAACAATGATGAAATTAGAGAATGAATAGCTACTATGTTAAGTAAGAGACATTATACTGATAATCCTGATGTAGATGTAGTTAATGAAATTATGAGAGCAGCTCATTGCAATCAAGAAGAATGAGAATGGTTCTGTAAGGTGTATCCTACTGAAGCAGCTCATGGAAATGTAATTCTCGCTGCTTATCAATATTTTCCTTATTGGAAACAATCAAGTATTCATTGACGGGTAAGAAATAAGGCAAAAAGAGATATCTTTATTAACCTTATCAAATTAAACTCTGAAGAAAGTAAAGAGTTATTTAGAAATTGAGTAAGAGAAGGCAAAATAGAAGATAATTTAACTTTAAAAGGAATTTTAGAAAAAGGATATGAAGGATGAGATTCAATCAAACAAAGTTGTTATGATTATTATGAGCTCAGAAATCTTTCTTTGGATGAGTTAATTAGCAGTTGGAATGAATTGACTGTGAATGCCAACAAGAAAGCTGCTAAGGTAAATGAATTGGAAGAAAAAGTTGAAGCATTGAAGGTAGAGTTGGAAAAAAGTGATGACAGAATAGAAGAATTGGAAGAGAGGGTAGATATTGAGGTTGAAATGAATTTAAAAGCATTAGACAAGTCAGCAGAATGGAGGGAAAAACAACTAAAAGAAGTAAAATCAGCCCATGTTTTGAGAGAAAAATGATTTTTGAAACAAATAGAAGTTTTAGAAAACAATATTGATTGATTAAAAAACAAAGAGCAAGTTATTAAAAAATATGAAGATAGAGAATTACCAGCCTTACCTAAAAAGCAAAAGCAAAACAGACTATTAAAATTCAAAAAGTTAGTAAACAAAGTTAAAGAAAAGAGCAAGGAGAAGTTTCAAACTCATGTTTTGGAAAAGTTTGAGGCTCATATCTTACAACCAAAGTAAACAGAATGAAACTAGAGTACAGAGTTTTGGAATTAGTAAATGGGGATGAACAAGAATGTAGTTATTGCTTTATAGATTATAGTGACCAGACTAACCTTGATTTTAGCACTGCTCCTGCTGCCTATCAGATGGTAGCACATACCAAGTCAGAACAATACTTTGATATATCCTTTATCTGTAAAGATTGTAAATTGGAATATGATAACAATGTTCTCCCAAGATGTGAGAAATACGATAGGTTAATGAGAAATAAGAGTCTATGTTATTGTCATAAAGAAAAAAAGAAGCAAACCCAATCTCTTACTAACAGGGAATTAGTTGCCCAATCTTTCAGTTCTCGCCTAGAAAATAAAACTAGAGAACTAGAAAAAGAGTTATCAATTACCAAAGAAGAATTAAAAGTTGAAAGAGAGGAAATAGACAAGTTTCAAGAGAAATCAGAAGAGTGAGGTAAAAGGCAAAAGCAAGAGTTATTAGATAAGATAAAAAGTTTAGAAGAGAAAATTAATCATCTAGAAGAAGAAAACAGGAAATTAAAAGATCAACAGAATGGTCAATTAACTGCTCAAATTAAAGTCAAAGAGACTAAAAGATGGTCTTGATTGAAAATAAAAAAGTAATTGAGGATATTTCCCTCTGTATAATTCCAACTATCAAAAAAAATGGTAGTTATTTTCCTTTTAAAAATTTTTGCTTTTTATTAGGTAATAATGCATCATCATGATGCTTCCTTTTTCCAACATTTATTATTTTTCTTTCTTCTTGGTAAATTTCATAGGTAATCCTTTCTTTTCTTAGATAAGCTTCCAGTGCCTGAGTATCATTTATTTTGAAAATGTAAGGAGCAATTTTTTCACCTTGTTCTTTCTTCAAAATACTTCTAATAGTACTATAATTCTTTGGTTCCATAGTAGACCTAATGTAAATGAGTTTCATTGTAATACAATTGTGATATTAAACAAACACTATTGATCCCCGAAATCCTTTGTAATACCAATGTTCACTTTGTCTGGTTTTGTTGCAGTATGCCCCATATGTAACATTAGCATTTACATGTAACATATACCTGAGAACTTTCCGAGTATTAGTATATTAATGTACTGACTTTAATCCATTGTGGGGAAAGTGTCAAATATAAGACATCTTTTTAAACTTAAAATTGGGCCCGCAGCTCTAGTCACCCAGGTAGTGCATTGAAGGTCACTAAGTCACCATTCTCTGAGATATAACTACTAATAATCTCCCTTTTCTTTCCGGGTGAATGGTGTTTTGATTCTGCAAATAACCTTAGCTTGAAGAAAAGTTAGCTCAATAAGACATGTTTCTTTTTTTCCAAATTCCCAAGATACAACATTCACATCATTTACTGAATTATTAAAAAAATGAAATGATCTTCCTTTAATTATTATTATATTGTAGTGAAGGCTTAAATATGACAATTGAGCTATCACAGAAAAATGTACTATTCTCAACAAATAAATATTTTCAGTTTTTTAAAAAAGCATTAAAAGCTATTCTTGATAGAAATTGTTATTGTACATTAATAAATACCATTTCCTTCCTTCACCCTTATTACCTAATTAGAGGAAAAAATTTCCCATTGTTTGATTGATATTATTTGCATACTAATACAATTTGTTCTTCAATTCATGATTTTATTTTTATAATATCCGGAAAACTATAGCCTGGATGAATTTGCATAAATATACGGATAATCCACATATTTTCTTTATCGCTTTCCTAGACTCCCTTTGGAAAAATAATAACATTTATGTTATTAACAAAGCATCAACAGCACAACCTATACAAGGTATTTTTTTTGGATCAGTGTTTTTTTCAAATTAAGATTTTGCAATTTCTAGCAAATGATCTCGCATCACAGTATCAATAAAGATTATCAGTTATACTGAATTCAAAACAAAAAAAAATAATTGGTACAATATCTTGTAAATATTTTGAAAATAATCAACTATGTCAGATCCAAAATACTTTGTATAGTAAATGTATCGGTAATGAATACGATGTATCTTTGCCTTTGTTAAAAGGGTATTTATAATTGCTGGACATGTATTAAATGTATGCTTGTGTTATTAAAATAAATAGAGCTTTATTCGATCAACTAACTGATTAAAAAAACTAATTTAACCAATCGAAGCTGCCAATTGATTGATCAATTGGTTGGTATATATAGAGTAGATTGATATTAGACGGTTTTCTCCAAAATAGGCAGAGAGAGATTTCAGCAATACAGACAGCACTGATTGAGTTTGCTTATTCACGCCTTGATACTGTAATATTACTGGCATTGCTGTAAGAGAAATAGCACAGTCATGTAATAGACTAGAGCATCTTGACCCCTATGCATTCAAGACAAAAATTTTTTTTGAACCAATCTATAAACTCAATAGTTGATAGATACTCTCTTGATTCATACACTCCCTACTATTATTTTAAATGTATGTGTGAATGATTGATTATACGCATTTATTCAAAATAAAAAAAAATAGATTATGATAAATATAAATATATAAAAATACATTATTTATTGCAATTGTTATACCCCACCAAATTGTTTAATCAATTTTAATAAATTCAAGTCAAATAATTCACTACGAATAGGCATCTCAGGTGTATAAAAAGGATTTTTCATTGCATAATCACTATAAATAACATATGTACGATGCAAGAGCACATCGATACTTGGATGTGCTGGATCTGCTAAAATTAAAAATTTTGTTCCTAATTCCAAGAAATTTTTTTAACAAAATATAATTAGTTTTATTATTATTATTGTTGTTTAGTGGAAATCAAATCAAATATCTTTTTTTATTAATTAGAACTTTACCTGTTAAAGTCTGATAACAGTATAATTTAAATGTGTCGGCTTCTAGTACTTCTAAACCTGAAGATGTGGAATTTCTAACAGGTGAAATTTGCGAAGTGATTGCATGCACACTTTTACAACAAATGGATTTAATAAAATGAAATCTAAAGTTTTTTAAACACACACTCTCAGAGTATAATTAGAAATACCTATGAAGAGTACCAGCCAGCACTAAATATTCATTAGCAGATAATTTTGCTAAACCTTCATTAAAATCTTTTTGATAAATAAGACCACCAGCTTTATTAATTATGTATAATGAAAAAATCATTTTTTTTTTATTTTTAATTTTTAAAATAACACACACACAATTGGAGTGAAACCAAAATTATAAATATAGATATATTTCATTATTAATTATGTATAATGAAAAAATCATTTTTTTTTTATTTTTAATTTTTAAAATAACACACACACAATTGGAGTGAAACCAAAATTATAAATATAGATATATTTCATGTGATCAATAAAAAATACAAAGATAAAATTTATTTTTTAAAGTTTGTTGCTTTTTTCGTATTTTCCATTAATTTCTTCAGAAACAAGTCTCATATCTTTCAAAGCGCTTAACATACTTTCTTTAAATTTCTTTGTATCAGTTTCTGTTGATGATTTTTTAGATTCCATACCAAATTTTAATACATGTTCACCTGGTAAATAATTAATTCCGTAACCATTTGGATATACACAACCAAACCCAGTGCCTATGTATATATATAAAATGTTAGATAAAATATATCATCAAACACAAATAAATTTCAATGCTGGATTTTTTATAAATATGACTTTACCGTTAAATTTAGTGCCAGTGGTTAAACCACTTGTACTCAATAACCATTCTTGACTTTTTGCAAAAATAGGATGTTGGAATAATGGATGAGATTCACCTTCTTTTAGCAATAGCCTAAGACCAAGTAAATGACGATCGCAACCTTTTCCATTTGATGCATCTCGAGTATATTCACTATGTGCTTTTACTGCTGCTTGTAATAATCCATATTTTTCTTTTGTCTAATGTTATATATATATTTATATATATATATATAAATTAATTCATGCGAAGATTAGGTGGTGGAGGATAAGTAACAAATATACTACTAACTGATAAAGAATTGTTTTCCATTACTTCAACAAAAGCCTTACTCTCCGCACTCAATGTTCTTATGGTCTCAGTACGGCCATGTCTAAATTGTCGAGTTGAACCTGTTTCATAAGTCGGGACGACTTTTCTGTGAAGTTTGTAATATGCTAATTGAATAACCATTTGAATATATGCATCTGGAGGACACTTGGCTTATATTAATAATTGTAGGGATAAAATAATTATAAAAGAGTAAGAATTTTTTTGTATAATAATCAAAAAAATAATATATCAATCAATCAAAATAATATTAAAACAAGTAAGTAGCGATTATATTTACCAATTTTTTTTATAAAATGTGTACCGTATTCTGAAGAGTGTAATACAGTAACATCAGAATCAGCAATAACTTGTGATATACGTTTTTCTGCATCTTGAATGAATTTAAGCGTTTGTTGATTAGTGACAAATCTGATTCTACGTGGCGATGGAATTTTTCGGCCCGAGGTTTTTGCATCCAAATCAGTTGGTTCTATGAGTGTCCATTCAGCGATAAATGCTGTTACTAATGCATCACATGGAGAATGCTATAAATATATTGAAAGAAAGGAATTAACTTTTAAGTTAACATAAATAAATAAATGGGTAGTCAGATAGCATATGCATACCTCACCATGCATACCTGCCACTCCATTACTTTCCACTATTATAGACATTGACTTGTCAAACCAACGATTATAGCCATTTCCATGGAATATGTTTCCAAGAAATTGATCTAGATTGTCACCGGACGAATAATCATCTAAATTAACAACGAATAATGCACTTTCGATCAAATTTAATGTCTCGCGATTTTGTGGAGAAAGTGTAAGTAAATGTTCACGCGCCTTTTAAATAACATTAAATAAAAAAAAAAATTCTTTTGTAAACACTCATTGAGAACAATCATAGAAAATTGTGTAAAGATGATGATGGCAGATTGCACTTACCACGGTCCAACTATCACGATCATCTCCTGTGAGTATTCCAACTGGAGGATCATATTCTGTTTGTAAAACATTGTTAATTATTTCCCAAATTTGCCTTTAATAAAATATTTATTTTTTAAATATATATATATATATTATTAGAAATAAATAAATAATTGTAATTATATATATAATAATGATTGTTGAAATAAAAATAATTACTGTTCAATGTCACCATCACTCAATCTATTCCCATCGACATCATAACATTCTAAAATATAATATTGATTCCTTGCAGTAACTATAACGTGTCTGAATTGATTCGGATGTTTTGTATGATTTAACGCATCACAACCATGTTGTGGGATACGAGTCAAACCATAAGCACGTGTGTATTGATGCATACATAAAGGATAAGAGCGTGTGACATCTGGTGGAATTTGTTCACTATATACATATATATGTATGTATGTATGTATGTATATTCATAAATAAGTTGCCAATATGAATGAATCAATCAATCTATCAAATAATTAAATAAATTAAATAATTGATTAATTTACTTGTCAAGCAATTCTTTATAATGTAACATTCTATTGATTAGATGTGCACTTCTTTTAACTTGAAATTCTGAGAATATTCCTTTGAATCTAGTATCATTACGAGAAGCGAGATATTCACCAGGAGTGTTCGAGTCATCAATATACATAAAAAACCAATTAGAGTTAATAATCAAAGGAACTCTCCATTCTTGATAGGCTTTTTTTATCCACCATGTATCGTCAAGCCAATTATCAGGTGCAATATTATCAATATCAATTAATCTCTGTTGAAGCAGATTACCCAGTCCATTTGGCTTTATAAAATCTTTAACTTGTTCTTCAACCACCGCAAGTTCCTGTTTTGAAATAAGTGGACGAAGTGAACGTAGGTATTTGGTGGTAGTTTCTTCTAGTGAGGGAATTGGAAGTCTTGGTAAAGAATCCTGATAGGTAAATGTTTTAAGGTTCTTTGAGCCTTGATTTGACATATTAATTTTATTTTTTGAAGAATTAAATCAATTGATAAATAAATAATCTATATTATAATAATCGAAAAAAAAAATCTAATGATAAATGATATAAATCTTTTATGGTAACTAATGTTTGTATAATAATCAGTTCACGTGTGTTACCAAAGCTTGCATTTTAAGATTTAACGTCATTTTTTATATTAATATTTCGGATCTTGCTTATAAGAGTAGAGTGAAGTTTCTATTTGTAATACAAATCTTATTCGAATTATTCATTTTATGAACTTATGTTTCATACAAAAACATTCACGCATTTCATTGATCAAGAACTAGTTATATATATATAAAAATTCTCAAATATTTTTTATTATTAACAATATGTATTTTTAGGAGTTGTTAACAGATTTATATAATAATATATTATTTTTACTCTTGAAATGCTATAAGAAAAAAAAAGAAAAATCAGCCCTTAAAGTTAGCAACGTATGAATAGGCGAGTAAACACCGCTTGATAATGTTGTATGCAAGGGGATTGAAGCTCGTTCTAGTGAGTGACACTTGTAAATTCCAAGTTCCTTGGACATAACATGAACTTTTAATACACCATCTACAAAATTTTCATTTTCAGCAATAAACCTCCATCAAGTTAAATGTAATAATTATATAAAACATTTGCCTGCAACATTAACTGTAAATATTGATACTAGATCTCTCATCAGGTGTCGATAGAATCCCTTTGAGATACATGCTAACGTTTTATTATCATGTGCTTAACTTGGGTAGACTTTGGGACGTCCTGTTTCAAGATAAGCAATCATTAGTTCCTAGTCGAATGTACATCATATGATCAACTCTTCATGCAATTTTTTAAGAATACTTTCATATTGCACTAGCTAAACTGCCTTTTTCACCCGATATCAAGTTATAATAAAGTGATGACCATACAACAAACCTATCATACTCCCCATGCAACTGGTGATCCCGGTAAACTAGTCATCACAATATTCAACAATGGCGCAATTGCCTCACACACATACGATCCCTCATTTACCTGTGGTTTTTTATTCGTTGTAAATTATTCACATTTTGGTGACCTCCAATCCAAACCTTTCCCCTAATTGAACAAACATCATTATTTCTGACTAATAATGATAATCTTATTTTTTATAAAAATAATAGAAATTTAACAATGCTAACAATAACTCTCTTGTTATTTGATCTAGTTTCTCAGGCCAGTCTAACTACTTCAAAAATCTACATCATTTAATGTATCCAATTTATCTAAAGCAATCTTGGCTTCTTTGTCCTTAATAATTTCCTCACAAATCTCTCCATTATTGCATTATTTTGACTCAATTTGAATTTTTTGAACAGTTCCTATAATAAAAATTGTCAATTATAAAATGAATATGTGTATGATTTGTAGCTCCATTTCAATCTTCTCCCATATAACCGTTTCATAACTGGAACTTTCCTTCTTACACTGAGATTAACGTCAGTAAAAATCATAATACTTGAAGATCTAAGAGAAATTAATCAAATAACTCCAATTTCACACTTTAAGGATGCATATTTGCACTTGCGTCTTCACACCAAGTTATTGTATCAATTTCTTTGGTGAGTACGTACATATACACCAATGAAAATAACCAAATATCATCAAGTTTTCATCGTAATACTAAGTTTGTCAATATTCTTACTAAGAAATATTCAGCTCCATAAGAGAGCATATATCGATTGTCAAATGCTATTGACATCTGGAATGGAAGTAAATATTCAATAAAAATTATGGATTTTTTTTATCTGAAGTTACACTTAAAAATTGATCAATCAATGATTGTTACACGCCATCTCCTTCTTATTTATTATATTTTATATATATTTATTTATTTTTTTCGATCAATTTTTTGATATGGTTTTTGAAAATAAAAAAGTCACAGTTGATGATGAATTAGACGTAGAGGACGATCTACTTGACGGTTAGTTATAAACTATAACCTTTTTCTTTCAAAGTAAACCATTAAACATATTGTATTTTTAAATTAATAAATAGAGGTTCTTGATGATTTTTCCTCACAACCTCCCACAAAATCTTCATTGACTTCTTCATCTTTAACGGACTCATCATTATCTACCTTTTCCACAATAAATAATAGTGGTTTGTTAAATGATGATGATGATATCAATTTGGCAGAACTTACTTCAGACATGGATGAAGAATATGCAAAAATTTTAGCAGCAGACATGGAAAAGTTGGTAGATGAGGTGACAAATAAAGAGCTAAATGAAGAGCTCAGAAGTACATTACAAGGTTTTATGAATTCTGTTGGTGGAATTAACAACTTGAGTGATTTTGGTGGTAAAGGTAGTAATAATGGTGATGTTAGTGGTAACAAAATAGGAAAGTCGCCAAATGAATCCAAAGGTGATTCATTTCAAGATAAAATCAATCAAACTATGAATAAATTACAAAATAGTTCTGAACAAGTTGATGTAAACGTTTGTCTGTCTATCTATCTGTCTGCCTGTTTGTCTGTTTACATATTCATTTTACTTACCTTTCATTGTCAATTTATATAGGCCAGCATTACAGAAGAATCAACAGATATACTTATGGAAGAAATGTTAAAACATTTAGAGAATATGGGCCTTACAGAAGATAATATTGATGGAATGTGTGGAGGAGTGGGAGGAATGGATAAAATAATGGAATCAATGATGGGAACTTTGGCATCTAAAGAATATTTATATGAACCAATGAAAGAATTCCATGAAAAGGTGATTAATTATTTGGGTTGAAAAAGAAATTCAAATATTTTTATTTATTAATTTGTCAAATTCTTTTCCACAGTATTCAAAATGGCTTAATGAAAAAAATGGAAAAGTACCTCATATTGATTATGAAAATTTCAAAAAACAATCAGATTGTATCAAAAAAATTATTGAAGAGTATGAATCACCAGATTTCGACAATGATAATGAACAACAAAACAAGGTTATATTAAACTTGATGCAAGAAGTATGTCTATGAAAAAATTATTTTTATTTTATTTTTATTTCTTTAATCAATTGTTTTTTATTTATTCTATTTTTCTCTTGTACCACATTATTTCTCAACACTTCAAGTTACAAGAACTTGGGCAACCACCACCAGAAATTCTTCAAGACTTTGCACCAGATTTATCATTCGATGAAAATGGATTACCTAATCTATCTAATGCAGATTTACCTTCCAATTGTAAACCAATGTAATCAATAAAGAAATTGTTATAAGTGGTGCGATGTTTGTTTTTTTTTTTGCCCTTTTTTGTCTTATTTGAACAATAATTCATTTTTTTATTTTACATTTCACAAAGTTAAAATGATTGTATATTGATGTTATTCCTATTCCTATTCTCGTTCAATAACTTGTTTGCATGTCATTTTTACTGCGCATTTATTCAGACTCAAATAGCAATTATTAAATTTTTTTTAAAAGTTGCAATTTTAAATCAATTTTTGAACAATATTGCTACATATTAATATATAATTTTTGAATATGACATTTAATAGCATTATTTTAATCTAAGATTGTTCAATTCGGTCAAGTATTTAGTGATATACAGAGATAAGCATCACTGCTGTCACATTTTTTGAAAAATATATTAAAGATAGATTTGTTTTTCATTGTATTTTATAAATTTTTTTTTTAAAAATTATGCAATAATAAATAATAAAAATTTATTTAATTTTCTCCTTTAAAAAAACTTCACAAATAATAAAAATTATCAAGTGCAAGCAATTTAATTTTGGTTTTACTATGCTAAAAAGCCATTAAATCGACAAATCATGGCTTCAGTCGCTGAGAGTTCCTTAAAAATCAAATGAGAAAGATAATAAAAGAATCAAGAAGTCAATGAAATGTAGAAAAATCTTGGATGCAGAAGTAGAAGCTTAGGTCTTCATGAATGTGGATAAACTGTAACAGGGTTGGATGTTGCTTTGAAGAGGAGGAAAGAACAGTCTTAATTTAATTGGAAATGTTGATTGAATTTGATTTATTTACTGAATTTTCTAGTGTCCCAGTAAGTGTGGAGAAAAACAATTTGTAAAAAATAATTACCAACGCTAACCTCTTGCATCAAATCTAAGGTTTCCTCTTAGCCGAAATTGCCAAAACACTTTGGGCAAAAATTAATTTTTTATAGGCCCAAACTATTTTTTGATGTTTATCCTTATAAAAAATATAGAGAAGCCCAAACTATTGTCAAAGCACTTTTTAAATAGTTTAGACAGGAATCCTTAATTGAACTCATAATTCAGTCAGTACAAGTCCTGTGTAGATGGCCTACAACAATGCATCTCAGATGTAAGCCTCGATGTCGCAAGCAATTCTCATTGTGTGCTTCCGTAACATACTTTAAAGGTATATCACGGACTCCATTTACATCCCTGTCAATTTAAAGTCTTTTGACTGTCCAAGTTGTTATGTTTTATGACTCCACAACATCCACAAGTTTTACTAGCATATTTCTCAATGCAGATGACCACCTTTCACCAAAGGATACTCACAGGATTTATGGATCAAATGGCTTTTAAATCAGTAATCTGGCCAGGTTGACATTTGTCTCACGATTTTAGATTAGATTTTTCTAAAACTGTTGTCATTTTTAACCATGTCTTTTGTGTGTGTGCGGGTAAATCTACGTGGTGGTTCTCACAACCATTTTGCTAATTTACAATGGCATTCATCCACAAGTTTATGTGGATTGGAACATAGATCGACAGAGCTTATATCATTTACACTTATTAGCTTTACCATGAATAGAATCCCTTTTGCTTTGGACTTTATCATGGTGATAGCATTAGCAATTTATTTTACTTGTATCATTACAGTGTGTTAAGAAAAAAATGGCGGTGACAAAAAATTGCATATCTCAACAATTACATAACATAATCAAATAAATTTAGATTCGTTTGAAAGTTTATCAAATTACCTTGTTAAATAAAAAAAATAGACATGATATGCTATTGCCAATTTTCTGTAAAGCTAATTCATATCTTTTTTTTAAAACTTTGCAAAATTTTTGTCTCTGAAATTTTAACACATAAATTTTTAATAATAAGCCTGACACAAAAATATACATAATAATCATACAAAAAATTATACCGGTGTGTAATGAAAGTTCTGGAGATTATATATATAAACTTTCATACTTCCAGATTTTCTAGAATTTTGTCAATTGGAAATAAAAGGAATTTGATTATTTTGAAAAAAACAATTTAATGTGTAAATTTCTTTAATAATTGCTCTAAAGCCTACATAATAACATGCTTCAAAAATTTCATATGTTATAATCTAAGATCCTCCGATTCTCTGTTATAATTTTCATCATATAATTTTGGCTACTTTTCATTAAAAACAATATTTTTACCAACCGCCATTTTTTTCTTAACACCCTGTATGCCTTGTCTTTTACATATATCCTGCTTTTTTTGGTCACGTCTCTTTTGTGATTCTAGATTGTCTCGATTTTTGTGATATAAACTATTCTGATTATAGTATTGGATCCCATTAAATTCCCATGCTAATTTTAATTCTTCATTATATCCATCTAATTGCATCCCATCCAAAAAGTTTGGCTTACATGATGGGAATTTTTTACCTAATAGATCTTCAAAAATATATCTACAGCGACGCTCATCAGTGTGATGGAAACAAAGTGGGCACCATTGGAATTTATCTTTCTGGATCTTATAAGGTGCTTCCCATTGATGGATAGGGATGTTAAACAGTCCCAAAAGACTGGCGGACTGATGGTCTGTCCTTGGACTGGACTAGTCTTTTCTCAAAAAAGACCAACTGGTAGTCTTGCAGTCTTTATCATGTGAAAATGGTCCTAAAACGGACTTTTTTCAAATAGGGACTGAAGTTTAAACTGGTCCATCTTGATCCGGTCTTGGACCATTTCTATAGTGAAGTTGTTACACTAGATTGATATGTTATTGGTCCTAAAACGGTCTTTTTTCAAATAGGGACTGAAGTTTAAACTGGTCCATCTTGGTCTGGTCTTGGTCCATTTCTATAGTGACATTGTTACACTAGATTGATATGTTATCAGTCCTAAAATGGTCTTTTTTATAACCATCTTTAAAAAAAAAAAAAAAAATTATACACTCTCTTTATTGAAAATTTATGATTTTACGACTTGTAATTTTTTTCCCTTTATTTCCAAATTTATGTTAACATTAATTTACTATTAATAATTACAAAAAATATTGTATTAAAAAAATCATTATATATAATTAATATATATATTTTTCAAAAAAAATTTTTAATTCTTATTATATAATATATATACACTCCCTGGACAAAAGTATCCGGACACCTGTTTTTACTAATTACACAAAAACGCACATAATAACTATACATAAAATTTTGACAAAATTTGGCTTAGGTTTTGAAGAACATGCATGTAAAATTTGATGCTTTTAAAACGTCTAGAAACATTTTAGTTAAAAAAATACGAAATTTGACAAAAATCGCGATATCATTTTTTGTTTATTTAATTTACCCAAAATCCTACATAATAATAAAAATAAAAATTTATATCAATTGTAGCTTAGGTTATCTAGAATATGTATGCAAAATTTTGTAGTTGTAGCTAGCATAAATAATTTATAATAAAATTAAAAAATTAGTAATTAAAATCGCATTTTGTAAAAATCAAGATTGATAAAAAATTTTTTTAATCTTAAAAATGCCAAAAAACGAAGAATTGTCAGAATTTATCTGAGGGAAAATTTTAGGCCTTCATGAAGGTGGCAAGAGTGTAAGAGATATCGCCAAGAAGCTAAAAATCCTAAGAAGCACAGTTCAAGACACCATTTCTCGTTATAAAAACCTAGAAAATGTTAAAAGTGCATCAAGAAGTGGTAGACCAAAAGCTTTAGATGAACTTGAACAAAACGAATTAAAAGTGCTAGTAAAAACAAATAACTGCATGTCAGCAAATATGATCCAGAAAAAATTTGCTGAAGAAAACTATCTTGTGGTTTCGACTAAAACAATTTGTAGGAGCTTGCATAGCCTTGGAATTTCTCCAGGGTTGCTGCTGTAAAACCACGTGTTACAGAAAAACAGCGAGAAAATCGATTAAAGTGGTGTTTAAGCAGGAGAAGATGGAGTGTTGCTCAATGGGGAAAGATAATATGGAGTGATGAATCTCGCTTTACAATTTTTAGAAGCGATGGTCCCCATCATGTTTGGCGTCCAGTCGGTGAACGGTACAATATTGAAAACATTACACCATCGGTCAAACATGGTGGTGGTGGAATAATGGTTTGGGGTGTTTCTCTGAAAAAGGACTGGGGCCATTATTTAGAGTTGAAGGGATGATGGATAGGCATGATTATATAGAAATTTTAGAAAACAAATTGTTGCCCTATATTAGTGACAAATTTAACAGCAGGTGTTACGCATTTCAAGATGATAACGCGCCTGTGCACACGGCACGTGATGTTCAAAAGTGGATAAAGGAAAAAAAGATTAAAACTTTACCTGATTGGCCTTCACAATCCCCAGATCTTAATCCAATCGAACATCTTTGGAGTGAACTAGGAAGGCGATTAGATAAGCGGGCACAATACCCAAAAAATGCCAACGAATTGGAAGCCGCTTTACAAGAAGAGTGGTCAAATATTCCATACGAAGTTTACCACAAATTAATAGAAAGCATGCCTAGAAGGATCGAGGCATGTATTTCTAGCAATGGATGGCCAACTTGATATTAATATTGGATTTTTTATTTTTTATATTTTTCAATAAAATTTTGTTGATCATTTTTTTGGTCGAATTTCATATTTTTTTAACTAAAATGTTTCTGGGCGTTCTAAAAGCATCAAATTTTATATGCATGTTCATCAAAACCTAAGCCAAATTTTTTCAAAATTTTATGTATAGTTATTATGTGCGTTTTTGTGTAATTAGTAAAAACAGGTGTCCGGATACTTTTGTCCAGGGAGTGCATGACATAACGATGGAACTTTGTCAAGAATGCCAAATAGATATGCCACAACTAGTATGAGGTCGGGTACATCCGGAAAATATAAAAAAATTTTACACGTGTCAATTGTAAGTTTAATAATAAAAAAGTGTAAAACTTCCGTCAGCACTGTAAGATTTACACAATATGACGTTGGCATCGTAAGATTTATGCAAGTTTACACTAAATTAATTTCCTGATGTAGGTAATCTGCGTTAATATATATATATATATGTAAATGGCAGAAGACTTCATAAAAATAGGTAATACATTAGGTAGGTGGATAGGGTATTCTTCTCGTTAATATGTGTCTTTGACACTAGCTCCGCCATTATATGTGGGTATTGGTCTTCGACTCATATAAGAAAAAACGCAGATATATACCCATTTCGGGTATGATCACATGTGGCCTGTATCAGTGGCGTTTTTTGACTACTGGCAACTACTGACGGCAAATATCACTATGTATTTTCTATGATCCCATCTTGCGCCATCTTTCCCGACCACGTATGAATATGAGTCTTCGACTCTAGACTTTGTCCATTACTTTTTACCACCCGATTTCGGACTCCGAGATGTAACAAACGTGATTACCGTAAACCATGGTTCACGATAAACTTTGAGTATCACGCGTGAATACTATTTTTTATCACCCGAATTGGAAAGCCAAACGTGGCTAATTTTTTGAATCGCACCACCTTCGAGTGTGGCCGGGATATGCTTAGCATGTAGTGGTAATAATCGGAAGCCAAACGTGGTCAATAGCATCACCAATAGTCCATCGTTATGGACGTCAATAACGATCACTAAAGCGGGGCTCAAAAATGATGACGAATTGGAAAACCAAACTCCCGCCATTTGATATCGAACAAAAACCCATCCTGCCCTCGATACTGGGCACTCATTTTTTATCACCAAAACCTCGAATAGGCACCGCGCTTGTGAGGTGTAGACTGTGAATCGTAATATGATCAAATGTGGTCTAATGACGGAAACTGACTGTGGACACCAAATAGATATACAATAGTTCACATATTTTCAAACGATGGAAACTGGTCACAATCGTCAAATGGATATACAATAACTCAAATATGATCTAACGACGGAAACTAACAGTGATCGTCAAATATATATATAGCACCCACATCTGACGACAAAATCGTGGACCCATCGCCACTCAAATGACGACGGGAATCGCGGGTTGATCGTCATAACTATCGCAAGTGGGAATAACCTATCGGAGTGAAATAATATAAATATATTATTTCACTTCGATAGGTTATTCCCACCGGATCTGTTCCTTTATTTGAAATAAGAAAATATATGAGTACCTACATGGTAAATTTAACAAATAGACAGGCTCCATTTGCTGTAATCTCATATATATGGCCTGTTTCGATTAACGGATGAATCTGACATAAATATTTAATAAAGCTACTTATCACGTGATTTGACTTGATTTTGCCAGAAATTTAATTCGATAAGTCGGTCACATGAGCTCATATTCACATGACTGACTTATCGAGCTTACATATGTATAAAATGAATGATCTTTACTTTTTTAGCTTCACAGGAAAATTTCATATAACTTTTCAAAAATTTTCTGTGACTTTATTCTTTTAATTATTATCTATCAAGTTACGTTTTATTTTTTTAAAATGCATACGTTCTGAAGCCTCTGAAGCCTTTTAAAAACAGCCCATAAAATTGATGTTTATAGGTGATATAAACCATGCAAAAAAAAACTCCCAATTTTTAAAACATCAAAAATCATACACACGTGAAACACGTATACGATCGAGCAAAAATGGAAAATTTTAAATATGCAAGTTGTTTTGGTTTTTTTTTCAATGAATATATTTTGTTTCAATGAATATTTTTTTTTTTTTCAATGCATATTTTTTTTTCAATGCATATTTTTTTTTCGATGCATATTTTTTTTTCACAAATTAATTGATTAAAAATTACTATTTTATTTTTATTGAATGATTGAGATTACTTCTAATTGATTAATTATACATTTGACGAGGGAAAACACGAAATACAAAGTAAGTAAGCTTGAAAAGTGGGCGAATGTCTTTCTTTATATTTACGGATTTCAAATTCCATACATACATATTAATATTAATATTCCAAATCATATAATAATTTTTTCAAAACACGGAATTTCAAATCCCATACATATTAATATTCCAAATCACATAATAATAATAATAATAATAACAATAATTTTTCAAATCACGGAGTATCAAATTCCGTGTACATACTCCATATTATATTAATATAATTTTTCAAAACACGAAATATTAAATGTGTACTAATGCGGGATTTCAAACTCCATGCACATGTTCCATATAATTGATTTTCAAATCACAAGATTTTCCATAGGGAGGTGTTAACATTGATTAGCATTGTGAAATACTTCTACGGGCTACAACTGGTGTCATAGTACTTTGAAATTGTTCTTCGAAGTCATAATCTGTCGCACAAAAACCTTAAATGTTATAATGAAAAGAATATAATCTTGGATATTCTAGATAAGTAAACAAATATGGGCGTTCAAATAACAACAATCTTTACCATTATTTTCGTTAAAAAAAAAGTTAGATTGATCATAAGTTTGTTACACCATCAACATGAACCCGTTTTATCTGTTGAAAATTACTAATGTATGACGTTACATCCGGCTGTTACGGGTATTGAATTTTCATTATTATGCATTGCCTGTTTTGTTAAGCATTAAACGTTAAAAACAAGATTTGGATAAACATGGAAGCAATAATGACAGAATATAATAAATAAGTAAATAAATAAATAAATAAACCCTTAATCCATAAACATTTGTCGAATTAAACCAACACCATTCTTTCTTACGTTATAAAACCATTTCCATTTTTTAAACCGAGTAGATTTTTTCTTGGGTGCGTGGAGGAATGCCATTAGATATACCATTGGATATAAGGGCTCTTAAAGGAGTGCCAATTTGTTATTTTATAAATAAACAAGTTGTCTTGATAAACAATAACTTAACTTCTGAAAAAGATGACGGTAATTTGCGATTATATTCATCTTTTAGAATTTCTAATTTAATCTTTGAGGTTTGTTTACATTAATAATTAAAATATCAATGCTATCAGTATGTTTGCTTGTTCGTGTATTTTTTTTTAAATAAAACTTTTTACGTAAAATTAGGAAGGAGATTTTGATGCTAATGAATTTGGTGATAAGCTTTATAATTTCATCCTCCCAAGTAATGTTAATAAATATTTTAAGATAAAAGTAGAAAAAGATTTAAATAGAGAAAATTCAGTAACGGCAAGTAGTATTTATATATTCCATAATTGGTTATGGTGCAACACAATTTTACGGAGTGTTATCTCTGCCTAAAGTTCCTTGCGAACTGGCTAACGCAGAATTTTGATAAATACGATTTCATTTGCAAATTATTATTGTCGAATATAAAAATTTAATAAATATACATTTATGCGTTCATTTCATACATATAAATTATTTCCATTAGGTCACATTTTCTTTTTTAAAGAAACATCAATCGCATAAGAATTTGATTGATTATTTAGTAACGGCCGACAATGAGTGGTTGTTTTATATCACCAAATACGGACTAAAAGATTGGTTACCATTGGATGTGATGACAATAAACGAGTTAGGATCATCTATCAAAATAACTCAAAATAAGTTGTTATCTGGAAATCATAACAGTGTTGACGAACTAGATGAAGTGATTGATGTAAATAACTTATATTATAAGTTAAAAGCATTATCGTTGTTGATTGCAAATGAAAGTTTGTCAACGAGTGATTTGCAAGCTGGATTTCAACAAGCACTTGGGGGTCTAGATATGGAAATAGGTATAACTGATATTATAAACGAAGGGTGTGAACAAGCCAGTTTTGTCAGTAAGCGTGTAATGTATTTGGTTGATTTGGTCGATGACAATAATATTAATTCATTAATTGATAATCTTGGATTGACAAGATCTAAAGAAAAAATTTTAACAATTGTTATTGATCAATTAAAGCAATTGTTGAGTGGCAAAATTTGTGATTTTGTAAGTAATAAATATTTTGTATATTGTTGTATATATGTTTGTTTAATATTTACTTACAATTTACTTATTTTTCTAGATGAATAGTTTTACTTTTCTAACAGCAGTCACGTTATACAATTTTTATCACACATTTAAAAGCATTTACGATATTTGGAATCAATTTAAAACGTGTGATGAATTGAGTAAATATCTATCAGAAAAAAAAGGCTATTTAAAAATCCATTTAGATCAGGTAGATTATTGTATTAAAAAAATGTTAAAATCATTAAACGCTGATGATGCTAAATACGAAGGTAAAAGATATATATAATAATCATTAACAAATCAATTTATTATATTACAAATTAATTGATTGTCCATTTACTATTTACTATATAGATTATTTGAAAAATTTTAAAGATCTTAATGAAAAAATGGAAGATTTTATCATAGAAGTTAAAGTGACAGCTATTCATTGTAGAAAAGTAATTGAAGAATTATGCGAGAAAAAGAAAAAATATGAGGCCGTAATTGGTGTAGGAACATTGTAAGTATATTAATATATAATTTTAATAATCATGTGATTATATACTAATTATAATTTAAAATTTAGCGTTCTTGGAGCTGGGTTAGGTTATTTTGGATATCAAAACCTCATTAAAGGATATCTTACAAAAAATCGGGTAATTGTCCATATTAACGTAAACAATATTTATTTACAAATAAAATTAAAATATTAATAATCATTACTATAATTTTTTCAGATTATGTCAAGTTTGGCTGCGATGGGGTTAAGTGGAGTAAGTTTAGCTGTGCTGGCCGCTTTAAGTCGCAATTTAGGCAATAAAATTGAAAACTTTAATAAAACACTTGACCTATTTAAAGATTTGAACATGAAATTGGAAACAAAGAAAAAACGGCGCCACGTTAAAGAACAGGAATTTGTTGAAAATAAGCAATTTTTGATTACTGAATATGAATTGCTTATGAATGAATTTGGAGCATTTGAATCGGAGCTTTGATAAAGAAAAAATTTACTCGATGTAATCATTAATTTTCGTTAGGATTATACATTATTTACCAGTTTGTTGATTTAAAAAAAAATAAATACTCGGATTGATAGTAGTAAATATAATCAGTTACTTATAGGAAGGCTATAGTCGCTTTATAAACATAGGTTTCTAAGATGGAATGTTTATTTTATGAAAACTAGTTTTAAAAATTGAAATAGCAATTTCATCCGCACCGGGAACTTATATTTCTCACTCGTTTACTTTTAATCCTCTCGTTAAAGGAACTTTTGGTGTATCCAAGAAAAATAATCAATGCAAAATACACAAAAAATATCATCAAAAAATATTTTTGAATATTCTATGCAACAACAACTATAAATAATATCCGCACATTACTTTTATATAATCACATTCTGTAAATTTCTATCTATTTGCAAAACATCGCATACAACCAAAGAATCACATGCTTTAAAAAAAAGATTCATTTTCTTTCAAAATATCAAAGTTAAGCAAAGCAGATATTTAATTGGATTTGGTCTTGATTATATACAATAAATAATTTTTTTTTCGTAGCAATAATTTCGTTTTAGTATTCTAGACATAAGACAACCGAATTATTATTTAACTTTTAATAAATTTGTATTGATACATTTGCTTTTTTTGTTTTTATTTATTCATTTCTGACAAAATTGTTTAAAAAAACTTGTTTCGAAAGCTCTGTATTTTACTTACCTTTTGAATATAATAAAATATCATCTAATCACTGATGAAATTAATCAATATAATTCATTTCCAAGTTTTTCGTTATGGAAATTATTTCGATAGACGACCAACAGCTGTAGTATAAATATAGTAATGGAAGGAATGAAGTATATAGGTAAAGATTTGCTCATTGAAAAGAAAGATCTGGTTACTTGATCATGTGAGATGATAAAAAAGTAAGTTAAAAAACATGAAATTACTAAATATTATATTAAATACAATCTATAGTAATATTTATGTCTATATACAATAATCTGGTTTCCAAAAGCCCGTATGATTCTTTGTGGTCACCTTAACCGGTTAATTAACCAGTTAATTATTGTTTTATCTTTTTTTTTTATGTCAAAAAAAATTTGATGCATTGATAAGATACATTTCATAATCATAGGAATTGTACATTGTGCTTTTTTATATTCAATTATCTTTTAATATTTCCACACAAAGCTTAGATAATCTTGGTTTTTGATATTAATAGTAATAGGCGAAGATACGATGCGGTTGATTCAAATAAAGAATAAAAAGAAGTTAATATTAATTTGATTGAGATTTACATGACTCGTTAATACTAATACTAATATTAATATTTAATGAAATACTTTATCCGGTTAACTGATTGTTCGATTCCCAACTCCGCGCCTTCTTTAACAATTTAATAAATTCAGCCATTTGACAAATGGAAACTTTCAATGCTGTACATAGGTTTACTCCATCCCGATTTCTGTTATTAATTAATGATTATCTTGTTACCGAATATTTGTGTGATATTTATTTTAACAATAAAGTTTATGATACAAACATTTATCTTTCACGTCCAGTGATAATTTCATAAGCAAGCAAGCAAATTATTATATTTGGCAGGTCTTCTAACAATATATTCACAAAGACTGAGCTCACCTTATCACTGCTAAGATTGATTTGATTGGTTAATAAAGAATGGTAACAGCCACAGCTATTACCATAACTAAAAGAGTTTTAGGAACTTCTATATCGGAATGGGATTCATGCAAATGCAGTTTATTGATTTTATTAATATTAAATATGATAACCCATTTCTAAAAAAGAAATTAAGAGGTCTGGCACCAAGGTTAAGAAAATGAGTTGGTGATAAAGTAGTAATGTAAAGGATGTAATTAGATTGAATAATGTAACTGACTCCAAGAACAATGTACAATTATTTTTTTTTTTTTTTAATAATAGAAATTGCGGATGCAAAACCGGTGTATTATAATATTATAACGAGGTAATATTGGAAATGTTTATACTTGCGACTTATATTTCAAGAAAAGAAATTTTTTTTCTATGGTGTGGGCCCTCTTAAACCACCAATTCTGTATGTGATTTTTAAAATAATAGAAGTTCATTTCTGTATAACATTTTGAAAAAAATAGCTCTGTTATGACATAGATTAGGACCCAGCTTTAATGGGTTGTTGAGTTCTATTCCTTTTTAGTACATATATTTACCATGTTCGCGAGGAATTTGGGCGGAAATTATGACAATCTACAGATCCTTTTTTAAAAATTCTGGTCGGAGTTAAAAATCGTGTAATAGTAGCATTAACACGTCAATATTTTTTATTTTACTCATGTATTCATTCCATTAAATTGTCTTTGGGTACTAATTAAATATATTAAATATGCAAATTGATGTTGTAGCAGATTTAAAAAGATTATTGCATTTATATATATATGAAAAATTTTCGAAATTTGGCCACGAGACGCAGTAAGAGGTCCCGCACCATAGAATAAAATTATGGAACGTTGTTTTTTTTTAGGGATTTAATCAATACATATTACTCTTTAGAGTTCTGTCAAAAATTAATTTTTGAATATTAATCACTCGATATTTGGGAATTTAATGACGTGTAACAAACAATTCTTTCGTACGGCTGTAAAAGGATCATTCAAAAACGTGAAATGGATTTTAATAATGATGGTATCAGCAGTGGTAGTTCGCAACAAACACACAAATCACATCCAGATGCATATCACACAAGTAGAATATTAGATGACGAGATTGCTAAATCTAAAAAGTTATACAAGTAATGACAGTTCATTAAATAATCTTGAGTTTAACTCTTTTTTCTAAAATGCGAATATAATGAGGGGTTATTTGTATTTTTGAAAATTGGTATGTATAAATTATAGATTGGAATATATTAATTGTGGAATGGTGTATATATATTTTGTAGTCGTGATTTGTGTTTGTATATGTTTATATGCCCTTTGTAGAAAATGCTAATTTTTTTTACGACTCAATATCATATTTCGTTGGAATTCTAGAAACCCTAGATGTTTTTTGACAGACTTTAACTAATTGTGACATCACAGCGCCTACTTTTATACTCTTGAAAGAAATCTAAATTTACAAAAAATTGTGGTTTTCATAATTGTGGAATCGCGCAAATTTGTTATTATATTAAAAATTATAATTCAAGTAAAACATAATAATAAATAATCAAACAAATACCCCTTTTATGTATGACTGTTTGCAAGAACTATTGAAAAAAAAGGGATTTTATTTAAATTTTTTGGTATAAGTACTTCGATTGATTTATTTTTAAATTAATATAATTATTAACTCAAAAAAAAAAAACATGCACTCATCTTCATTTTTTATAATATTATTAAACATATTGTTTTGTGGGGTAGTCTTTTCACAAACAGTGTTGACTAATCCTTATAGTAATGTTAGTATGCCAATAAAGGAACATAATGCACTTCGAAGTTGTTATGTTGCTTGTGATGCTGACCAACTACACCACCAGGGTTTCTTCACGCAAGCTTATTACTATTACTATTACTATTAATAGTGGGATTTAATAATAATAAATAAAAATGATGGATACTTGTATCATTTTTTTATAAAAAAATCTTGCGCATGCATTTTATTTTTTTTCGTTTGTTTTTTACAAACAGTTAATAAATATATAAAACTAGGTGAATGCTTTATGACAGTGACTTAGTCACTGGTGTTACTTGTTATTTATTGTTTTAAAGCTTCTATTCAAATAAAGGTTATTATTATTTGAATTGTTTGTAATCAATTGACTGAATTACAAATGCACATTATTATCACTAATAGAATCCTATAAGAAAAATTTCTGGCCTTTGACAAAGTTAAATGATTTTAATATTCTTTTTGTTGTGATACTGAAGGATGATGTGATGAAAGGTTTGCTATGCCACAATTATAAAAGATTTCTTTAAATGTTTTTGTTTTGAGATAGCTCAACAAATTTTTGATCAAATGCCATCACCGAAATTTCACATGCATATAGAAGTTTAAAGCATATATATTTGGAAACTGCTAATATGTAAAAATAATGTTATCTCAATATATAAATAAAATAAAGAGTAATAGTTATTTGAAGTTAGTCCCAAATTCTTCTCCTCAAAAAAAGGTAGACAGCTCATTGGCATAACCAAGTCTTTATCAATCTCATTCATTGTCTAAAACAATTACAAGTAGATAAGAATAGAGAGGATAATGTGTATACAAATCATGGGATACCAATATATCAAAACAAAGAATATTTTTATTTTTAAATAATAAAATTATTTATAGATTCGGATCGATTTGATTCGAATCAAAGCACTTATTCGAACGAACCGAATCAGAAATTTGGTGATTTGAATTTCATTGATTAATTCGGAGCCTCGTGAAATTCACAAGAATTTTTAATTCGTAATAAATTAAAAACCGGTTTCTATATTAATATTAATATTAATATTAATATATATTAATATAGTATATATTTTCTCGCGCTTCTAAACATTCTGCAAAAAATCATTGTCATACAAATAAAAAATTTAGTGAAACATAGATTTTTATTATATGTTGTATAACCATTAAATGTGATAATACACCTTGGTTTTTGCGCAATAAAAAAAATGGGTAACGATCATTACAAAATCTAGATTAGTACTAGCCAACGGAATCAAATGCCCATTATGCTTACTACTTTTGTTATTGTACAACAAACTCGAACCTGTTTTATCTAAAATCTTGTTTTTTATTAACAAACATGGTATCAATAACAAAAAGGCATTAATTCTCTTATAAATACCATTAACATTAATAATAAAAATATCGTTATTTCCTTACTATAACGTTAAAAAAAGTTCTTCCTCTTTTATAAACCGAAATGAATTTTCTTTTTCCTGAAAAAATAGATTGTTCACCATTAAATTTAGGAATTATCGATGGAGTGCCAATTGCATACTTGATAAATAAACAAGTTGTTT